TGATCCACCCGCTGCTGGTCAGTTTCAGCAGCGGCTGAATCGGGGACACTTGCAACAGAGCAGCTGCAGGGCTGCTGGGTTGGTCCAGTAGCACTGACCCTTGGCACGGCGAGACCAACCCGGCAGCACCCCAGCTGCTCTTGGGGACGCTTGGGGCAGAGCAGCTGGGGGGGCGAAGGGTCAGCGCTACCGGACCAACCCGGCAGCACTCCGGCTGCTCTGCTGCAGGCGTCCCCAAATCAGCCGCTGCTGAAACTGACCAGCAGCGACTGAATCAGGGACATCTGGGGCAGAGCCGGACTATAGGAAGGAGGGCTATGAGGGGTCTGGGGTGGCATCCCCCCCACCCCACCCCAGACCCCTCATAACCTCCTCTTCTGATAGTCCAGCATATCTGATAATCTGGCACCCTCTGGGTCCTAAAGGTGCCTGATTATCAGAAGTTTACTGTACTTGGTATTTGTCAAAATAACATTTAGATATTCAGTATGTGTTATGCTTTTAGGCATTCTACAATTCTTATGCTTTTAGATGTCAATTAAAAGCAACAGTCTTCCTAATTTCTAGTTGAGGGTACAAAATGAACAGTACTGTGATCAACTCCCCTACAGGAAATATCCTTGCATTCCATTTTTATTTAAAATTCACATTTATTTAACACATATTCTAAGAGCTGAAAACAAGTATCATTTCTTAAATACATCTTATTTAATTTATCTTTGTTACCTGAAGCTAGGTAAAGGTAGCCAACCTGGCAAAAGCCAAGCTGCATGAGTAAATCCTCCATCCAGATCAGCATACAGTTGTGCCACCTTCTCACTGAGTAAGCTTCTGATCTCCTTTCCATGTAAACAGTGGCTTGCTGTCAAAATAATGAGCTCTGAAAGTGCTTCAAACAAGTCTGAATAAAGGGAGAAAAGGAAAAGTAAGTCAGCACATATTTTGGAGAAATGATGTCGAATTTTACGGGCCACTACTTTCACTTCTGGCCAAAAAAGGAATTAACTAAATACAGAGAATTTAAAATATTTTCCAAGTGTTTCTGAAAGAGTTTTTCCACAAATGGATCCCTGTTTTGGGACAATGGGGAGAAGATACTTCCAGAACAGATTATCTGGGAGAGAAAAAGAAAGCACAGTAGAAAACTAAAGGATATTCACTAGCTGAGGCAGCTGTCAGCCCGTTTGTGCAAGTGAGATGTGCCCAAATGGGCACTTGATCATTATATACTCCTATAAAATGCAGAAGTAACTATAATAGTTGAACTTGCATGCCACCACCTCACAAAGTTGATTTGGAGCACTTTGGGGTGGGGGGGGAGAGGAACGTAAGATGCACATCAACCAAGAGAGGGAAAATATTTTAAAGTATTTCCAAGATAAATTTTTCGAGTGGAGATTAGGGCTATGTTGTGCTAGGATCCCTGATCAGAACTCTGAATAGAGGGTGAAAATGAATGATGTGATCAGGTTTCAGATAGAAAACAGTACCAAGATGCTACTCCTGGAACACTAATTCTCAGATCAGAAAGTTAAACTCAATGCCTACTCTGCACAATGCCCTATCTGCAGTAGACAGGAAAGAGTAAGATATTTGAGGATATCCGATTTGCTCTATTAGAGAGGGAGAAAAACATATGGCTGTCACATTATGTGACAAAATATGCTGAGAAAAGGGGTAGGAGTCTGGGGGTTTTAAAATACAGACTCATTTACTAGTGAGGATAGGGAAAACAGCAAAGAGGAAGGGAATGGCAGCTGGTTCACTAAGAATGAATGCAAGAGACTGAATTTATGGGCAGTTGAGGTTAAGGGGCTACAGAAACGCCTTTTACTATTACTTTACATTTTGGGGAACTGGTATATATGGGTACGTCTACACAGTAGCTCATGCTTCAAAATAAGCTATGCAATTTGAGCTATGCAAATTAGGTAGCTTATTTTGAAATAGCTAATTTCAATATTTGGTGGTCTATACAGTGCTAATTTTGAAATAAATCACTATTCTAGCATCTCCTTAATTCTCGTGCAACGAGGTTTACAGAAAGCCGGAATAAGAAACCCATTATTTCAAATGTATTTTGAAATACATGCCTTTAATACATGCAGAATGCTATTTCGGGATAACAAATTATGTTATCCTGAAATAGTGCCGCTTTGTAGATGTACCCTATGTTAATCACTGTTGTGTCTTATAAATCAAGCTTAGTTATCTTTTTATCTGTTGTTCCTTAATCCACCACTTTTGTGGTGGACTGGACCATACTGACAGTCCATCATGGCCTGTAGAAAAGAGAAAGAGACTGACAGCTTATTTGACAATAACAAAATCAAAGGCTACAAAAGCAAGACATTGAGCTACTCCCATATACAAACAAGGAAAGGTGGAAAAGCTTACTTAGGTTTGAGGAAAGCTGATTTATTTGGAAAGAATACAAAAACAAGTGTCAATAATAGTTATTGGGGGGGAAGTTACTTCTCAGAAAAAAAGAGGTAGGTGGCAATTAAATATTATATTAATAAATCTGACAAAGCTTTACAAATAAATCATTCTAGAAACCCAAGTAATTCAGTCAATCATAGTATGTTCTGTGGGCCTAACTGTGCAAATCTTATTCATTTACATGCTACTTCTGGGGGAATTCTGCACCAAAAAAAATTAAAATTCTTCATATATTTGTCATAATAGCACAACATAATCACATCAGTTTCAATTATTTTGATAATTTGCTTCTGAATACCCATCAGCAAGTATCTCTGTACCAATACAGACAACTAATGAGATTCCACCAGGAGTGGAGAGTTAAAGAAACCGTTATGACAATCTTGTTCCTCTTATGCTTTTGCTGGGTGCCTCAGTCTGGGTGTGTCACATAGCCACATCGCATGGAAAATCTCCACTCCTCTGGTCTGTTAGTAGACTCTAGTTTGTTCTACCTGCCCCTATAGGGTTACCACACAGAAGCTCCCGAACAGAAGGCACTGCTGGGAGAAAGAAAGCTGGGGGTGCTCAAGCAGTGTGAGAATGTACTGAAAGGGACTATTTGGTAGATGCTGGAGAAGCCTGTTTGACACATGCACTTCGATGCCTCACAAGCCCAGCCAAAGGGCACTCCCTGGCCCAGAAACCCACATTCCCTATAATCCCCAGAGCGCAGGGATCTAGAGGGAGAAACATCCTTAAGTTGGGTCCCAGATTTGTCTGTATGCTGCTTTCTTCCTTCAGAACACGCTGGGAACTGGAGCTGCTGGACAACCTCCAGCTCCCCCGCCCCGGCAATATCCTCTATTTGCAAACCAGATTCTGCAGGCTCCAGCAGTCCTTAGTGGTAGCCAGCAACAAATGAAATTCAGCACTGACCATCAATTCTGCATTGTATAGTAGGAATATTAAATATTGGTTAATTAAATAATGAATTAACTTCATGAATTCTTATAGGTTACTCCCGCATTTCTCAAACTATGAGTCCCAACTCCTCAGGGGGTCACAAACAACTTAGAGGGAGGCCTTGGTATCACAAAGTTTGAGAACCCTTGGGTTACTCGACTATTCTACAGTCCCCAGGGGTGGGGACAGCAGCCAGTGCAGTCTGGCCCTGCTATCAAAGGGCCCCCTGACATTCCATGTTATTGCCTCTGATACAGAGGCAGCAACATGGGGTGACCGGCCGGAGGTGGTCCACAAGGGGAGCCAGTTTAAAAACCAGCTCCCCTTATGGGCCAGATGCTTGTCGCCCTGCAATGCTTCCTCTGATACAGGAACTGAGCCAGGCTGCTTGCCCACCTGGCTCCTAATTCACTTTGGCTGTGTCCAGACTCAGGGTTTTTTTTGAAAAAAGTAGCCTTTTTTCGAAAAAAATTCACCTGCATCTAGACTGCAGCCGCGTTCTTTCGAAATTAAATTGAAAGAACGCGGCTTTTCTTTTGACGGCAGTAAACCTCATTTCACAAGGAAGAACGCCTTTTTTCGAAAGTGCTCTTTCAAAAAAACGCGTTCTTGAATGCCAACAGGGCTTTTTAGAAAGAGAGCATCCAGACTCACTCGCTGCTTTCTTTCGAAAAAGCGGGTGCTTTTTCAAAAGTTCTGCTTACAGTCTAGACACTCTTTTTCGAAAAAGAGGCTTTTTCGAAAGTATCTTTCGAAAAAGCCTCATTCGAAAGAGGCTTGCAGTCTAGACATAGCCTTTAAGTGCAGTTACAGCAGGAGTAGGTCCTGGACCTCTCGTAAGCCAGGACTGACCCAGGCTACTGACCTGCCTGCTCAAAACTTTAATGGCATGGGGGGGCGGGGGGAAATGTGTGTATAGTCTATAGCATTAACCTATAAGCTTTTGCTCACTGATCAGTTAATCAACTACACTATTATATTCTTATTGTATAGTGATGCAGAATTGCCCCAGGAGTAAAATACTCATGATGGTGTAAGCCCTATCCAAGTCAATGAAATTTGGGAATAAATACTCACCAATATAATGGACAGGTAGAGGTCTATTTTTTTTGGATTTTAATCTAACTTTGCTTAAGTCAGACTGTTTTTAAAGAAATAGACCATCTGTACTTCCTTAACTTAAAGGATATGAGCCATTGATTTTGATTCTGGAATAAGGGAATAATATTTTGAAATCATGAGTTGCTGGTTAGCGAAGATATTAGGCACAAATAACCTAACCCTGGCAAAACTATCCTAATGTAGCCTGAACTATTAGGTTGGGGACAAATAGGAAGAGACTACAAAGCCAGGAGTAAATTAACTCTTTACACTTCCTACTAAGTTTGTGAGTGGCTTCATTCTCTTCTGAATTTTAATTAGACAAAGAACATGTTTTGTACTTCGTTCTTTTGAGCATGGAACATTTAATACATTCTGTCTGTATTTTCTTTCTATTAAAAATGTTCAAGTAGATCATGTATCAAAATACTGCCATGTGAAGCTAATTTTGGCTACTTCTCATGCCATTCTCTTCACGGTAACTTTCCAAAACACAAAGTATCTCATCATGCTTACTTCTCTCTCCACTTTCTCCCCAGGATTTGAAGTACTCCTGTGTTTCTTTTTCAATTATAGGTACGTGTTGTTTAAACTGGGCTATATTCAGCCCAGTTTTCAGCATTTTCTTTTGTTCCAAAAACACCTGTAAGAGTTAAAATATTAGAGGTATATAACATGAGGTACATCATTATTGCTTAGTCACTGACAGCATATTGCAAGTGGTACTGAAACAGAAAAGACAGTAATAGAAAAGTAGAGAAGTCATTATAGACATGGAGAACCTTCTGGAAACTGAAGTAAAACAAAATCAAGAGTAGGATTCAAAAATATACTAAATACTCTTTAAAAGTTCCAAAATAATTTTTAAAACCTAAGCTATAAAGCTGAAATACCATGAGTTTAGCTGCTTTGGTTTCAAGCAAGAATACTTGCTTAACAACATCCAAACTACAATACTACTGTTACGGAGTTGCATCTCTCTTACAAATACTCTGTATTTATATGCCTAGTGAGAAATTTATTTGTTAAAAACATTTTATGAAGCTTTGTTGTCGTCTGTATTATTACAGATATGCTTGTTGAGACTTATTTTGAAATAAATTACCAAAATAATTCAAACTGATCTGACTATTGTCTTATTTTGTGCAGAAATTTATAGCTACAATATTGTGTGCAAAATTTTTAACTTTTTGGTGTAGAATTCCCTCAGACGTTTACTTAATATGAATTGGCTGTAAATGTATAGCTGAATAAGTTCTGACAAAGTATTGACCTATTGACTGATGGCAGAACCTTATGTATGATGAACAAAATTTTCAATAATCTTCATCATATTTGACCTGGTTGTTTGGAAGGGAGCCCAAGACTGGATTGCTTTAAGGCAATGATTCTCAAACTGCAGTGTGCAGAACTGTGGCTCGACCTCAGCCCCCTTCTTTCCCTCGCAGCAGAGAGCCTGTCCTTCATCCCAGTGAGGGTGGAGTGCCAGCTTCAGCTTCCCACTGGGGGGTGGAGGGGAAGTCCTGAGCCTTGCTGCACAATTTGGCTCATTGGGAAGAAGCCCCCCTTCCCCAGCTGGGGGAACAGCAGCATGCCTGAAGGCTATCCCCGCTGCTCCTATTCGCTGGAATCCTGCAAATGGGAGCAGTAGGAGGCCTTGCCTGGAAGCAGTGCAGAACGCAAAGGCCAATAAGGGCCCCCCACCGCCTCATGCTTAGACCCCCCCCATTCCCAACCCCCTCACACACACACCTAGACCTGCGCAGTTGTTTAAACTGGGCTATATTCAGCCCAGTTTTCAGCATTTTCTTTTGTTCCAAAAACACCTGTAAGAGTTAAAATATTAGAGGTATATAACATGAGGTACATCATTATTGCTTAGTCACTGACAGCATATTGCAAGTGGTACTGAAACAGAAAAGACAGTAATAGAAAAGTAGAGAAGTCATTATAGACATGGAGAACCTTCTGGAAACTGAAGTAAAACAAAATCAAGAGTAGGATTCAAAAATATACTAAATACTCTTTAAAAGTTCCAAAATAATTTTTAAAACCTAAGCTATAAAGCTGAAATACCATGAGTTTAGCTGCTTTGGTTTCAAGCAAGAATACTTGCTTAACAACATCCAAACTACAATACTACTGTTACGGAGTTGCATCTCTCTTACAAATACTCTGTATTTATATGCCTAGTGAGAAATTTATTTGTTAAAAACATTTTATGAAGCTTTGTTGTCGTCTGTATTATTACAGATATGCTTGTTGAGACTTATTTTGAAATAAATTACCAAAATAATTCAAACTGATCTGACTATTGTCTTATTTTGTGCAGAAATTTATAGCTACAATATTGTGTGCAAAATTTTTAACTTTTTGGTGTAGAATTCCCTCAGACGTTTACTTAATATGAATTGGCTGTAAATGTATAGCTGAATAAGTTCTGACAAAGTATTGACCTATTGACTGATGGCAGAACCTTATGTATGATGAACAAAATTTTCAATAATCTTCATCATATTTGACCTGGTTGTTTGGAAGGGAGCCCAAGACTGGATTGCTTTAAGGCAATGATTCTCAAACTGCAGTGTGCAGAACTGTGGCTCGACCTCAGCCCCCTTCTTTCCCTCGCAGCAGAGAGCCTGTCCTTCATCCCAGTGAGGGTGGAGTGCCAGCTTCAGCTTCCCACTGGGGGGTGGAGGGGAAGTCCTGAGCCTTGCTGCACAATTTGGCTCATTGGGAAGAAGCCCCCCTTCCCCAGCTGGGGGAACAGCAGCATGCCTGAAGGCTATCCCCGCTGCTCCTATTCGCTGGAATCCTGCAAATGGGAGCAGTAGGAGGCCTTGCCTGGAAGCAGTGCAGAACGCAAAGGCCAATAAGGGCCCCCCACCGCCTCATGCTTAGACCCCCCCCATTCCCAACCCCCTCACACACACACCTAGACCTGCGCCCTGCCCCCGGCCAGATACTCTACTCCCAGCTTGATGCAGCTCCCACACACCTGGCCAGACACCCTACCCCCCAGCCTGCCTGTATATCCTTGCTCTCCCTCCCTCCCTCTGGCCTACTCACTGCCTGCCCTTGAATTCTACCTCCCATCCAGATCTCGCATCCTCACTCCTTACTGCACCCTACCTTGATCCTACACCTCTGTCCTGCACACTGAGCTCCCCGTTTTTGCCCCTAGCCCCAGAGCCTAGGTGGGTCCACAAAATCCACTAATCTTGGAACCCCAGAAGAGTAAATCTGGCCTATGGGAAGCCCTGAATCTCAGTATTCCCTCCCCCTCCCCTAGTGAGGCTCAAGTGCCAGAGTGAAGTATTTCAATTGGGGGGGCCACAACAGTGAGGGTTGGTTTTTTTTTTTTTTTTGGCTTCTCATTTCTGTGCAGCCCCTGATCGATTTTTATGTGGGTAAGTGGCCCCTGATTCCCCCAAAAAGGTTTCCTGACCCCTGTGATAGGAGAAGCTCTGACTAGCAGAGCTGGAAAGGAAACCTGTGTCCTGTGAATCTATCAAATTGCTTTGAGTATGTCAGTGAAAGAGAGCACAAAGGGGACCCAACGACATCAGATGGCAGGATCCCCATACTTTACCTTCATATCCCTGGAACTCAGGCTGCAGGACCAGCACCACACTAGCAAAATGGCTTGGGCATAATTATGTCATTAACAGCGAGTTTCCATTAGCAACTGGTAGTCCATGGAAAGGTTTTAATTTAGCCAAGTGGACCACAGGCCAAAATGTTTGAGAACCACTGCTTTAAGGGAACTGTGGTTTTGGTTTCTGGGTAACCAGGAAGATATTGTAGAAGCTGTTTAGTTGCTGGCTTGGTGAATCTAAGAATCCCAAGGTAGCCTCAACTAGGAATGTTAGATATTAAATGTTTAATAACTGTGTAACCACAGCAAATCTTAGCAGTTATGTGATTATTCAATGGTCCCTGGGGGGTGGAGCCAACAGCCAGTGCACTTCCAGCCCCACTCCCAGGGAGTCCCCTGCCACCCTGCCCTGCTGCCTCTGTATCAGAGGCAGCAGCACAGGGTGATAAGCGGAAGCTGATCTACAAGGGCTCCCTACAAGGGCTCCCCACACTTTCAAGAGAGGCAGCGGCGCATGGGGCAGGCAGCTCCGTGGGAGCCAATACACATGGGGAACTGGATTAAAAGATGGCTTCTTGCTTCCCGCCTGCCCCCCTCACCCTGCACACTGCTGCCTCTATCAGAGGAAGCAGTGCAGGGATGGGGGGCAGGTGGGTCCATGAAATCTGGTGCTCACTGGGAGCCGGCTTAAAAGCCAATTGCACAGGCAACTGCTCCTGCCTCCTGCCCCCATTGCTGCCTCCGATACAGAGGCAGCGGGGGGTAGAGAAATGCATGTAGCTGTTTGGATTAACTGGATTAAACACAGGCTTATAGGTTAATAGTTTAAATGACTATACACTAACATTCCTAGCCTCAACCTCATTTTAAAGGGGTCACCAAGGCTTGCATTAGACTTGCTGGGGTCCTGGGTGGTGGCCCTCAAGTTACAGGGTCCCCACATACTGTTGAAGCCCTTGTGCTTCAGCTTTGATTTCCCACAGCAGTATGGTTCAGGCTTTGGCTCTCCTATCCTTGGCTGTTGGACTCAGGCTTCAGTACTCCCTCTTGAGGTTGTGTAGTAATTCTTGTTGTCAGAAGTGAGCTACATGCAATGAAGTTGGAGAACCCTTATATTAAAATAATCACCAGTTTTAAGGATCATCTGCCCAATTTTTTGCAAACAGTGTGTGCTCTTTATGTATTTAGATATAGTTAAACTACAATGTTTATAGCATCATGTAGTTTCCAAAGCAAAATATAATTAGCCCAATTAAATAACTATAGTCATTACAAATATAAACTAGCTCATTGGTGAATGGAGTATCTCATTGGATAGAGCATACAGTACAACACCAGAGGTCCAGCATCCAATGGTCCAGCACCATCTGGAACCCGAAAGTGCTCCGGGCAGCTGGACAATTGGAGCTGCTCTGCCCCCAGCTTCCCCGATTCAGCCACTGCTGAAACTGACCAGCGGCTGACTTGAGGAGGCCCGGGGCAGAGCAGCTGGGGTGCTGCCGGGTTGGTCCTGTAGCACCACCCCTCGGCGCTGCGGGACCAATCCGGCAGCACCCCAGCTGCTCTGCCCCAGACTTTCCCAAGGCAGCCGCTGCCCAAACACACCACA